AAAAAAACCCTCAGTTGCCAGTTGCCAGTATGTATAAGTAAAAAATTATTATTCCTCCATGAGATTAAAGCAACGGATAATCTAAAGCCCTGTGCGTGGTTTAATTTGGATCTGATCTGTAACATTTTCACCAAGCATTTTCAACCTCATATTCACATAAATTTTTTGTTTAAAATAACATTCACTATCTCAGTTTAGCACCATATTATGAAAACACCCTGTATAATGAATCTTTTTAGCACTTATGGTAAAGAGATATATTTTGCAACAAGATATGAAAATTACTGTTTTTTAATCTATAAAGCTGCGGTAGCAGCAAGTGGGATGAGTTGATGAAGGAAGAAAAGATTTCACTTTAAAGTGGAAATGTTTTTAATTATGTGTTCAATTTGATTCAAAATGAAATATAGTATAAGAAATTATGAATTATCTTTTTAATGTTTGTGGAATAATAATATGCATATGTTATATGGATAAAGTAGTATGAGTAGATTATTGCAATAAAAACATTAAATTTTATGAAATGTTTATAGAAAAAATTATTTGGATGACTTCGAAAAGTTTTTAATTAACATTTTTGACATCTGCTAGTTTGGTAACTGTCCACATTGGCCGTTTGCAACAGTAGTTTGTTACACCAAGAAAATTAGCGAAAATAAAAGAGAAACTCGAAAAAAGTCCTATCCGCTAGATTATTCTAAAATTGTCTAAAGGAACATAATATAAGACATCTCTTGTCTCGTGAGTCAAAAACTTTTATTAGCTAACTTTTCTATTTAAACAAATAAGTGGAGGTTTTGATGGTTTTCTCTGGTTGATGGCAAAGTGAAAAAATTGTTTTTCTCACTTATTTGTTTAAATAGAAAAGTTAGCTAATAAAAGTTTTTGACTCACGAGACGAGAGATGTCTTATATTATGTTCCTTTAGACAATTTTACAATAATCTAGCGGATAGGACTTTTTTCGAGTAAAAATTTAATTTGCTTGGTCTATGTAGATTGCGAACATATATCAATCAGTTAAATGCAATAATATCTCTTCGTTCTGGAAACTTTAACTTGCTTTTCGAAACACACAGAGAACATAAGATGCACTACCTTCTATTTATCAAAATCACCTGAAGAAAATTGTCATCAAGTGAACCATTTTTATGTTATATTTTGAAAACGTAAAACCAACAAAACTTTTTAAATTCAAATGGAACACCCTTTATTTTTTGCACTATATTATAGAAAGTAAAATTCTCTTCACCGATATGGACATTGTAGGGGTTACAGTTTTGATTTTCTATATTTAGCAGTGTTCTTACATTCTCAAGAATATTACGTTCAATATCATCAAATGTGCCTTGAAAGGCAAATATTGATATTGTCATTTAATATTTTACAAGTATCAAGTATTTGCTCGACAATAAAAATAATTATTCTAATGAAAATATTTTGAATGTGTGTATTTTATATCCAATGGAAATTCACCATGAAGCAGAATTATTAGCAGCATTTCTATGATTTGATATTTTGCAACACTTAAGGAATTGGACACAAATGAAACCCGGCAAGCTACATACAATAGCGTTCTTTGTAGATCAATTTTTTATTTTTTCATAATTACATTAATAAAATGCGTTGCTTCACGTTTGTTGTATCTTTTAAATAATGAGGAAATATATTTACAAAAAATGATAATAATATTTTCTTCCAATGGAATACTATTATTAGTAACTGCAAGTACAATAAAGAGCAAATAGTTGTCCTTTCATTATGAAAACAATGAAATATAAAGTAACCAAGTTTAAATAATAATATTCTTTCTCCTTTCAACTTCATTCCAAATATTATTAAATTATCTGATAATCGTTTATTAGTTTTTTGAAATTATTTATGTTATGTTTTTATCCTCATACTCATCTGATGAATCGTTTAATCTCTGAAATATCCAGAGTACACACGTATATGCATAAGGAAAAGTTCTCAAAATCACTTACGCATTCACGCGTATGTATAAGGAATTGATTCCAGGTGAATGTTCCATGGATATAAAATAAATTAAAAATACTTGATACTTGTAGAACACTGACGACAGTACTGATAGGTATTTGTCTTTCAAGGCACATTTGATTATATATTTAATGTAATATTCTTAAGAATTAAAGAAAACCGTAAATATTTGAGAGAATCGAAACTGTATAATCTCTCCAGTGCCTATATCGGTGAATAGAGAATTTAATTTTCTATGATATAAAAATGTTATGTAATACAGGTTGTCCTATTTGAATTTAAAAATAGGATAATTTTCTTCAGGTAATTTTGATAGTGGAAGGTAGTGCATCTTATTTTCCTTGTGTGTTCTGAAAAGCAAGTGAAAGCTTCCAGAACAAAGAAAGATATAAGGAATTTTCGAAACACTTGCATCTGTTAAAATTTTTTTAAAATGTCGATTATCTCGAAAAGATTAGATTTAGGTACAGGGAAGCTTTAATATTTTGTACTTATTTTTAATTTATCTTGTAGATAATGCAATAAATAATAGGGTGTTCCATTTAAAATAAACAAGTAGATGGTGATTTTTGGTTATCACCGGAAGTGCTACTACAATGGCATTATTTTATTTAAAGAGAGCACCCCCGAAAACCCCAGGGCCCAAATTTTCAAAATTCAAATCGAAGTAGCCCCTGTAATATTCTAATGGGTCGTCACCGTAAGACAGCCTGTATCTACCTAAAAATATTTAAATACTAAAATAAAGTGATAACATTTTATGTAACAAATGTCACCTTCTATGCAATAGTTTTAATTCGAATGCATTTTTTGCTAGGTGGAAACAACTAAATAAATAATGAATAATGTCTTATAGTTCGCTTTGAATTACACTGAACATAGAATTATACAGAGTGATTCAGGTTTAATTTGGATAACTTCAGGAACCGATAGAGCAGGTTAAAATAATGTTCATTCATGATATACACTCATTTTCTAAATCGCATTGTTTTGGTGATAGAGGGCATTGAATTCATTGAAGTAGGATTTTTTTTCCCTTTTCTTAGCACTAAAAATACTTTTGAAATAATACTTTTACCAATGATTTTCACAAACATCAGTTTATACACATCATTGTAAGTTTTGTTTTTCATGGGTTGCTATAAGGTTAAATGAAATTTAAGCGTCTGGGGCGCTACACTGTCACGGATTTCATTGAATATCTTAGAAACAACGCCAAATATCGAAAAAAAAAAGAGACAAAAAAGTTTCAAAATTAATGAGACAAAAGTGGTGTGCAGCTGTTTTATTGAAATTAATTAATTTTTTTGAAGCTTTGAAATAGTGGAGGGGGGTAGTACACGAAATACATTGCTAAGAGGGGTAGGTGGTTGAAACTTAAGAAGCTTTTGTAAGATCATAAGGAGTATTCTGAATTTCATCTCTATCGGATAAGTGGTTCAAAAGTTATGAGGGAAAAGCGAAAAGAAATTTTATTTCAACGCCTTCTATCTCCGAAACGATGCGATTTAGGAAATAAGTTTATAGGTATCAAAATGTACATAATTTTAACCTGTTCTATTGATTCCTGAAGTTATCCAGATTAAACCTGAATCACCCTGTAAGGTGCAAAAAAATATTCATTACACAAGGTGTTTCTAAAATATGGTGCAAGCTAACACATGAGATAGAAAATATTATATAAAGTATAAAAGTTGTAAGGTGATAGATATGCGTTGCCAAAAACAGGATGAAAAACATTTTTTTTTCACAAATAAAAAAGTTATTCGTTGTCATAAAAATCAGAAACCAAAAATAAAAAATACTTCATACCCCTTAAACACACCTAGCTTTTTTTTAATCGGCTTGATATATATTTTATCTATCTCCTCGGGGAGTATGAGAAACTCTCAAAAGGTGGTAATATTGGTCCAAATTGGCAGTTTTTTTACAAATGCATGTAGCAATAAAATTTAAAAACAGTAAATGCATTTTTTTCTACACAATAGTTAATGTTAATGTCTAACTTAGAAGATAATCTTTTTGTACGATTTACATTAATTTATTTCATTTTTTGAAAAATTGTAAATAAAAAAGATATCAATGAGTCAACTGGGGCCTTTAGTACTTCAGAATTTTGATGATTTGGTGCAGTTTGTTATTAATTATAAATGTACCAATTTTCAAAAAATCCCTTTGCTGAAAAAAAGTTATTGTAAAATATTTAAAAAAATAACTGAGGTCATCTTTTCTGTTAACAATGAGTTTCCAAAAAATTATTATAGCAAGTACGTAATAATGAAATTGGATGTGGCCATGATTTACTTTGTTTTAAATCATTTTCTGGAGCTGCTTTTCAAGAAGAGCAAATACTTACGCATTGTGTTGTGCCATATTTAGATAATTCCGGAATCGAGTTCTTGTTCTTCTCTTTATTTGATCGGTCGATAGCCGAGGGGTTTGAGGCCTCAATACTTAAATCGAAGAATGTCACTGTCGCGAATTTGATCCCCGTGGCCATAAAATTGTAGATCAGCTACATATATTCGTAGAAGGGAATTAGGCATCCTTTCTGCAGGTATGGTAAGGTGGAAGATTGATGGCTTGAGTCAATGTGAGAGACTCATACCGATCTGTATTTAACCATCCCCCTAATTAATGAGATTTTCCAGGTTTTCTCAATTTCTGGACTGAATGGCGGTTAGGGCTAACCAACGTAAGTCATTCATGGGTGCAAATGCGGCCTACTGAATAATAATATTCCCCCCCCCTCTCCCATACTAGTCTGCTGGGCTAATCCTTGCGGTTAGTATGAGGCGTAGAGATATTATTATTGTATTTGGGTGGGCCAGCATATTTTTAGGTGGAGCATGGACCAACCAGGCCTACTCCTGGTTACGTGTCTGTCATAGGAACTTGCACCATTATTTTATGAATAAAAGCATACATATTTTTCTGCATATTATGTGGGGTTTTCAGCATCGTGAAAAATAATAATTACTGCCATATTGTATTCTTTTTTAGTCAGCTATAGAATTACTTCAAAGTATTTTGCCAGAAGACTTGTTCAGAGCGATTCCAGAAATTATGGTTTATTTGGTCGAAGGTTTTGGAAATTCTACTAGGATTGATTATGGAACTGGTCACGAATTATCTTTTATTATGTTCCTATGTTCATTATTTAAAATTGGTTACCTGAAGGAGACTGACCAAGCTGCAATAGCTTGTAAAGCTTTTGTAAGGTATATGTAGAATAATGTTTGAATATACAGTAGATACTCCATAATCTAAATTAATTAAAACAAGCCAGATCCAATGAAGTTATATGTATCTAATGTAAAATTAGTTTTGTTTTATTTTCGTAAGTTTATTATTAACTAAAAGAATCGTCTATTGCATAATTTAAACAAACTAACATAAGTCTAAGTGTAATAAAGGACATAGATTTTGTGTTGCATCAAGTTTTTCGCGTCAAATTAAAATAAATGCCTTTAAAGAACCCTACACAAAACATATGGAAATTGAACACCGGTAAATTTTTATGAAACTTCGTATTTTGATAGTCCTCGTCATGGTGATCAAAAGTTTTAATGGGCACAAAGCCCTACAACCCCTGTCAACCCCCCAAAACCACCTACTTAACAAAACTAATAAATGTTATTGACAAAAATAAACATTAAAGTAAACTACAAAATAAACCCTTTTTAATTTCCATTGCTACCTAAATCTATATTTTTGTTGAGATCTAGCAGCCTGAAGCAGTTTTTGGTCTGATTTAACTAGAGCCAAAAAATTGGATGTCATGACAAGGTCTACCAATCACAACTAAAAGCTTTGAAGCGTCTTATACGTACGAAAATATACCTCAGACTACCAGGACACGGCGCGGCGGTACTCAAAAATTTCTGAATATTGTTAAAATATTGTTAAGGATTTCCAGGATTTTTTATGTCCCGACCAAGGCAAAACTTTTGCCGCGACAAACTTTCTGATTCCTGGTTAATCCCGGCCAAACCGGGACGGTTGGGAACCCTAGGTTGTCGTCAGAGATTATAGAGTAGTGATCGTTTAGGTGGCTGTGAGATGGAATTCACAATTAAACAGTTACACAACCAGTAAGCAGGGAAAAGTCACACGACAGGCTTTGGTAGTTGGTGGGGAGGGAGAGGGATGGGGGGTTAAGTGATTTGGAGATAGTAGTCTTAAGCCTAGTTACAGTTTGGGTGGCTGTAGGTTCGACTGCAAAATATTTCAGTAGTTTTATTGACCGATAATCTGTCAAGTGTATCCCTCTGACCTTAGGATGTAGTTGTGGGGGGTTGTAGGGCTCGGTGCCCATTGATAGTCTAAAGCCTAGTTATGGTATAGGTGTCTGTAGGTTCGACTACAGTAGTGAAATATTACGGTAAGCCAATTAACCTGTAATCTGTCAACCGACTATAAAAGGTAAACACTATAGAGGTTTTACAATCACAATAATGTTGACTGTAAAGTATGCCAATTATCATAGTAACATATTATTCTGACAATGCTTTAAAGCTCCTTTAAATTTAAGTTTAAAGGCCACTTTAAGTTATTATCAAAACAGCCGTAATAATTTTAAGTACAAAAAACATGTCGAATGTCAGTTATCCATTTTTTCCATCTGGTTGTAAATTTAATGTAAACATTTTCACGTATCTTATTCTTACACGATAAATGATTTTTTGGATAAATCATCATTGTTTATACAAATATTTCTCTCTAATTCAGATGCAAATATTATACTATTTATCCAAAGGATAGAATAACTAAAATACTAACGTAAAAGAAAATTAGTTTGTCTCTCCTGAACAATATACATATTGACGCTTATTCCCTTGCAGTTCTTACAATTACTCTGTACAATAGATATTTTACTGAAAAAAATTTGGCTAGGGTTTAAAGAAATATATTGTTTTATCATTTTTTTTTGGTGTAAAAGTGGAATAATAAAGAAAACTACAAAAGTTTAAAAAAATTTATTAATAACGTAGTAATACTAGTGTCCGAAATTTTACTGTGTGTACTCGAATTACTATCTCTACCTTTGTTAATTTCATGGTTTTAGAGAGAGGGGGGGGGAGGGAGGGATGGGATGGGGAGTGAGAGAGAGAGAGATTGATAAATTTAAATCACTACAAGTTAAATTTTGTAAACCTCTAATATATTTTAGTCGAACGGAGGAGATGGATTTGGTCACAGAATAATGTGTTATTCGACTTATCTCCTCCCACAAAATTTACCAAAGAACATAAGTCTATGGTGTCGTACATGGTGCGATTCATGTACTTTTTGCACCAAATGACTGTTCTTATTACAGTGCAGTATGGAACCCCATATAGGTAGATACGAGGTGTTTACGAACTTGGAGAGGATATTTGAAGAGTAAATAAATCAATTGGCAGAAATATTTTTTGCGAAGAATATATATTTTTTTAATACCTATTGATTTATAACATTGATGCAATGAAAACTTTTTTGAAACCGCTGACACCACCGATAGCTCTGCTTCTGTTTAAGGTGTTGACACATGCCTATTTGGAAATCGCTGTACATAAGATGTGCAACTAACTTGAAGTTTTCATTGTATTTACCATCATATCCATTAATTCATTGTTACTGTATTGGTAACATATTGTCATGATTATTGGCACTTATTAATACACACACCATAGGCATACTGCCTCTTTCCAAAAAAAGATAGTTAAAATTAAGAATTTAGAAAAATAAATAACTTCACTTTAACATTTGTTTAAATTGAAGTAGAACTGGTGATTACCTACAATTGAATTAGTAATTTTTCTGTTTCTATAAAAAAAAATTAAATGAAACAGTGGACTACACACTATTTATGGCATAACTATGCACCTCTTTCTGTGTGGTATGTAAGTTGGGGCTGATTCTAGATGTATTCAGTAAGTTTTAATTGATTAATTTCTACTATTAATTATAAACACTGTTTTGCATTTATTTGATTTTTTAAAATACTTGTTATCAATGCATTCTACCTACAATTAAAAATCCTCTCCGAATTTATAAAGACCCTGTATATCCCAATATGTGATCAGGTGTGAGTTATCCCGTTATATTGCAAACTATAAAATACATTTTATTATATTTAAGAGGTTAAGTATTTGCTTGGACTACTGCAGTATCTAAAACGTTTCTATTATGCGATCACGGTTTCAGGCGACATTTCATTTTTTTAACAACCTTTCTACTAAATTTTTTAAAATAAGCAAATTTACAGTGACAATCACTACTGTCACTTATTTTCTTTAGAATCATTGGCATTCGAATACATAGGGGAAGGGGGAGGGGTCTAGTCTACCGAATATGAAACTTTTTTCTGTGCCTGTGTTATTATTACGTTGTTCTTACGTATGTTCTTATGTATATTCTTATAAACTTCATTCACTATATACAGGGTGGGATTTTGAAAACAAAACAGAGCTCTCAGAGAAATTATTTCTCTGAAAAATGCTGAGACAGGTCGATTTCTGATCGAAGGCGGACATCTTTTCACATAAATTTCTTGTTACAGATTCTACCCCCCTAGGAAAGGGGGACGACCACCCAAAAATCTTAATAAGGAAGGTGGGATAAGTGATACATCATATGAAATGTATTCTAATTCTCTACACAATCGTGTTTTATTTTTTGAATTTGACCGATTAGTTTTTAAGATACAGGTTGTTATAAAAAAACCTATTTTCTTTTTTCTCTATGGAGTTAGTGGCTATGTTTGATTAGACTGGATCTGTATGTAATAAAAAGAGGTACTCCAAAAGAAATGAAGCAGTAGAAGCGGCGATTTTTGGCCATGTTGCTATAAATTTCAGAATGAGTACGAGGCAAATGGAAGCTGAATGTGGTTTTGAATTTTGTGAAATAATGAGTGAATGAGCTAAGCATTAACAATCCTTATTTTATTTTTAATATCTGTTTCTTGGATCAGAGCTCTTTTTTTGTTAATGGCACCGTCAATCGTCATAGTTGTCTTTATTGGTCTGCATCTAACCCAAGGATATTTTATGAGAGTTATACACAACATCCGGAAAAATTAAATGTATGGACTGGAATTTCTGGTGACCGTACTGTACTGTTGGTCCTTTTTTCTTACCGGGGTGATATACCCGGATTTGTTAGAGATCAACATTGATCCAGCATTGACAAACATTATCTAGAATAATGAGAATTATCTCGAAGACCAGTTGACATTCCAACAGGATAGAGCTCCCCCACACTACGCCCTGCCTGCTCAGCAGTATTTTGATCATATGTTTGTGAATCAGTGGATTGGGAGAAGAGGCGTCATAGATTGGCCTGTATGATCGCCAGATTTGTCTCATTTAGATTTTTTCTTGTGGGGTCACTTAAAGTCCAAAATTTATTTTACTTCACCTACTTCCCTTCAAGATCTACGCCAATGTATTGTCAACGAATGCCGTCAACTTATACTACTGTATGGAGGCTGGGGGTCATCAATTTGAATATTTAATTGGCTTAGGTATAGTAATTTGCAAATAAATGTGTAAAAAGTAGGTTTTTTATTAGCAACTTGTATCTCGGAAACTAATCAGTCAAATTCAAGAGATAAAACACGGTTGTGTAAAGAATTAGAATAACTTTTAAATGATGTGTTCCTATTAAGATTTTTGGGGGGTTGCTCACACTTCCTAGGGGTGGTAGAGTCTGTAACAAGAAATTTATGTGAAAATATGTTCTCTTTCGATCAAAAATTGACCAGCCTCGGCGTTTTTCGGAAAAATAATTTTCCTGAGAGTTATTCGCTTTGTTTAGTTTTCAAAAGCCCACCCTGTATTTGTAATACCATAATTATTATTACAGTGTATATTATTTTTAAAGGTTTCATATGCCATTACATATCAAATTAATAAACTTTGGTATTATATCAGTGAAATTATAATTGTTTCTTACAGATATTTAGATGTTGTACGAAAACTGCAAATAACTTATCGTATGGAACCAGCCGGTAGTCATGGAGTTTGGAGCTTAGATGATTATCAATTTGTTCCATTTATTTGGGGAAGTTCTCAATTTGTTGGCAAGTCATTTAAAATTGTATATTAACCAAATGGTTATTATCTTTTAACATTTTTAGGAAATCCTAAATTTGAAACTACTTGTTTCTTAAAAGAAGATATTGTAAATGCATATGCTGATGAATATATGTTTTTAAGCTGTATAAGATACATTAATCAAGTTAAAAGTGGGCCTTTTGCAGAACATTCTAATCAGTTATGGAGCATTAGTGGAGTTCCAAGTTGGTCGAAAATTAACAGTGGTTTAATTAAAATGTATAAAGTTGAAGTAAGTTTTATCAGATTTTTTTTTATGTTTATTTTATTTGCAAATTGGTTTTACTCTGAAAGATTAATTTTAAAATTCTATTTATTTAATTTAAATTTTAAGTAAAAAGAGGTTTTTCATTTGGAAAAATTCACTCAATTAGGCAATTGTTGTGATATACTGCCTTGGAGAATTCAGATCTAGTTCGGGCATTCGAGAACAAGGACATACTTGAAGCGGAAATGCTATCTCATAAGTTCTCAATATCTTGAGTCAAAGTTGAAGTCCAGCACTAGGATTCTGATGAACCGAAATCTCAATTAGAATAGAATTGTGACGTTTGAAAATTTGGTACACTAAAACTTTTTGTTATTCCATTCACAAAGACTCTAAAAGGGAGATACTTTTTTATAAGAATCAGTAAAAGTTCTGCAAGTCAAAATCTTGTTGAAATTTAAGATTGTCTATGTATGTTGAGTTGTTGAATCTTGAACGTTAATTAATGCAAAATGGAAATTGTTATTGAAACGGAGAAGAAATTCAAAATGCATGTAACTCAACATCGCTGGAATGTTATCATAGGGTTTAGAGAACTTTATCCTGAAGTAGTAGGTAACTAACAAATTTAGCTCTAAGGTAGCAATTAACTTTGGAATTGAATAGAGCACAGTGTTCGACAAAAGCATGGAGACTATACAAGGAGCCCGAACTCCATGTAAACAAAAATCTTACAAAAATAAGAGGGCGCTAGTGTTCCATATGTCCTATATGTAGAGAGGGGAGATAAAAAGCGGCAGTTTGAATTATAAATCAATCATGTCATTTTTGTAATGTGTTAAAAATTTTAAAATAAATAATGTAAGCTACTTTGAATTATATAAATCATGAAAATATGTCATTCCGGACTGTAATTAAACTAAATAGATAATAAAAAATATTAGCTTTATGAGAAGAATTTGGTGTTCGTAGAAAGAAACTAGTTTTCAAGGAATTTATGACGTGATCTTGTTAATATTAACCTATAAGTAAGGTTTATGTTTTTGATAATTACTTTGTTAAAGATTTTAGTTTAATGTTAGTAAAAGTCACATTTTATACAGGAAGTTGCCTTTAAAAAAATAGTAATTCTTGTATTATTAATATGGAATTTTTACTTGTGGTAATAAAAAATAGAATATAAAAAAACTCGGTGTTTTAAATAAACTTTTTAAAATATTACAGATGTCCGATTTTGAGTCCAGTGATTCAGATGACTTATTAGACGCATTGTCCAGCTTGAGAGTGATGATGAAATAGATTTATTCTAAGAAACAGAAAGAGTAAAAAATAAGAACTACTTTGAAATTATTGTACCTGAATATAGTGGCCAAGTTTTTTTAACATTTCCGTGTTAGCATATGGGAAGTAGCTAACAGAATTGAAGAAAAATTTGCCATTTCTAATTATTTCACCCATGATTCTGGTAAATTTTGCATTGCCTTAAGCTCTACAACAACCAGAAAAGTTACATACTTGCTAAGTAACTTGTCTCCATAAATTATAGAATGGCCGAGATAATGAGGCAGTTGTAATCGAACAATATTTTGCCCAATATGAATTTCCAGAGCAGGTTATAGGAATAATTGATGGGAAAGGAATTCATATAAGATAGAGTATATCACAATCCATATTTTTTTTGAATAACCAATAATATACTATATTATAGTGTAACTGAAAACTGACTATGGAAAGTCGATAAATTATGGTTGGACAATTTCTAAGCTGATTGCCATGTTGTCGGTTTAGACTTCTCAATGCTTCGAGAGTCATATCGCTCTCTTCTCAAAATGTCAAGAAGCTTAAAACAACATGACAACCAATTGATACCAAAATTTTAACAAAATATAGGTACTCCATTATAAAGGTCACAAAAAATAGGTAATCTAAATATTTTATAACTGTTTAAAATCGATTAGTTTTCTGGGTATATATTTTAAAATTGCTGTAAAATTTAATTCTACTTTCGTAAAATTGTTGATTTAATTCGAACGTAACATGGTTCCATGACTTATTCCAAGGTAGAGTATAGACCAAAATTAATAAGGTATTATAAAGAAATATTTTAGCAATGTTCTATATTTTTGTTATATATTTTGTAAAAATAAAATGTTTATCTACCAAAGATTTCAATGTTTTATTAATTGAATCAAAAAAACTAAATTATTTGTGCCTAATTAAAATAAAATAAATATTTATTCATAACAAACAAGTAACAAAGTAAATATATATTACAAATAAAACAACTTAAAAATAAGTAATACGTGTCAGTCTATCTTCTTAAAATTTCATTTTGTTCATGAAGCAATTGATTTCCATGTTTAAATATTTAGTAAAAGTAGTCAATTACCAATACAGATCGATCAGCATCAATTACTACACGTATCCTCTCTTTAAATTTTATATGATATCTGAATTTCAATCAGTTTTTTACTAACAGGAAAGAAACAGCAACTAATTGGAAATGATTTATTCAATTCAGTAATGATAATAGCGATGTCACCAGCAAGAATTATATGAAAGATACGAATTTAATTATTTATGCACGTAATATAAATTACAAGAATATGTAGAAATAAATAAAGTATACTTTGTTGCTATTGTCAATATTATGTGAACATATTCATAGTTGCTTTGTCGAGACCTCATCACACGTCAACAGAACTTTTCTTTTATTAGATTATACAGGACAGGATGCTCACTTTCTAGTATAATCTCATCGTAACTTAATTGCTCTTGATTTACTTGCTGTTCTTGTTGTTGTTGTTGTTGTTGTTGTTGTTGTAACTGTTGCTCTTGTTGTAGCTGCTGCACCTGTTGTTGCTGGTGTAGCGGATGCTCTTGCTGTTGATGCTGCTGCAAAATATATAAAGAAACAATGCATCATTCAATTATACAATATTTTCACTTATGAAATCTTTCTATTTAAAAATTTCTCTACCGTATTAAGAATCAAAGAAGCTGCTTCCAACTTCCGAATTATTCGACCTTTTGCCATAATATTAACCCACTATTCGGTCAAGTTGTAATATAGAACTGCTGGACATCATTAGATTGAAAATGCAGATCACAAACGTACTGTTTTATTTTAAATCTGTTGACAGTCATTCACTTCACATACTATTACCATATTTAAATTATTTTCGAAACTTTTTATTTACCATTTATAAAAACAAATTGTAATAATTATTGACTTGACTTCTAGTTTTTAGGTTAGTATACCTCCCCGCTCCCCAATATATCTATTAAACTCAATATAAATAAAATAAAATTGGTTATTTGCTTACTTCACTCGTATTTATGAAGCTACATTCATTTGGGACATATGGAACATTAGCGCCACCCCAACTTATGCCATTTCTTGGACAAATTTTGTCAATTTTCCCGTATGAGTTCGTGCTCCTTATCTAGTCTCCATGGACAAAAGAATGGAAATATGAATGAAATATTTTCAAGGAGCTGGTGTTCACCTCATTGAAAGAAAATTACTATATTTAATGAGAAAATGAGCTACATTTGGTGACAATAGGGCAAGTTAAGTAAATTTCTTCATAATCTAATTTTTCCTTCAACTGACTATGGAATAAAAATATAACTATATACAGGGTGGGCCAATGGAAACTTTCCACCTCAATTTTTTTGGTTTAAAATAAAAATCTGGGAAAACGCTCGGACACGTCGACTTTTGATTTGAGGGGGAACTATTTTTCAGTTTTTTTCATCCCCGTAGTTTTAACCCCCTAGGTGGGGAGGGAACAACCCCCCAAATTTGAATAGGGGATAGGGTTCCTGCCCATACCTCTTTTTAAAGGTCTCATCGAGTTCTTTATGACCCTACAATTCCGCCTCATTATTTTTATCCGTAACGAAATGACAGCTTGTCAAAATAAAAATAAATAAAAATACTAATTTATTAATTAGGTCTACACGTGAACTTTATCTAACAAACTGTTCAAAATGTCCGCCATTAACATCCATGCAATAATGTAATCGAATCTCTATCTCTTCTCTAACATTCTGCATCATATCGGCAGTTATCCTTTGACATTGTACAGTTATGAGTTCTTGCAGAACTTGAAGAGAAGCTGGCTGTGTTTTATAAACTGTAGACTTCAAATGGTCCCAGAGAAAGAAGTCTAGACAGGAAAGATCAGGGGAACTTGCAGGCCACTCAATAGATCCCTGGAGCCATTTGAAGTTTACAGTTTATAAAACACAGCCAGCTTCTCTTCAAGTTCTGCAAGAACGCATAACTATAGAATGTCAAAGGATAACTACCGATATGTTGCAGAATGTTAGAGAAGAGATAGAGAATTGATTTTATTATTGCATGGATGTTAATGGCGGACATTTTGAACAGTTTGTTAGATAAAGTTCACGTGTAGACCTAATTAATAAATTAGTATTTTTATTTATTTTTATTTTGACAAGCTGTCATTTCGTTACGGATAAAAATAATGAGGCGGAATTGTAGGGTCATAAAGAACTCGATGAGAACTTTAAAGAGAGGTATGGCACGACCCCTATCCCCTATTCAAATTTGGGGGGTTGTTTTCTCCCAACCTAGGGGGTTAAAGCTACGTGGATGAAAAAAACTGAAAAATAGTTACCCCTCAAATCAAAAGGCGACGTGTTCGAGCGTTTTCCCAGATTTTTATTTTAAACCAAAAAAATCAGGGTGGAAAGTTTCCATTGGCCCACCCTGTATAATATAAATTGATATATACCAGGGATTAAAAGAAAATTATGTGATACTGAACAGACTGAGAATTTCCTTGGAGGTTAATGATGGTCTGCATTTTTAAATAAAATAAAAAGTACAAAATAATGCTTTGTGGTAAAAAGATATCACATATATATTTCAAGGTTCTGACGGCAAGGATACAAGTGATAAAAGTTACTATGTGTATCGGAGGAATGCAATATATAGAAGTAATTACAAAAGACTTTTTAGTGTATGTATGTTCGATATAGTAGTGCTAATT